GCCCCTAGCTGACTATAGTGCCACTGAGATCAGCACACTGAACCCCACTCTCGCGCTGGGCAAATCCTGAAGTATTTTTTTCCAACACTCATCCTTCCTTTTTTCCCTCCTTCTCTCTCTTTCCTCCTTTTGAGTTAGTGATTCACCACAGAGCCCAGGCTTGCAGCTTCCTGCTTCTGCTTCCCAGGAGCTGGGACTGTGGAGATGTCCCATTACACCTATCTTAAGTTCCTTTATGTTTCATGTCCCAAAGGACATTACTAGTGGACCTGTGCACAGCATCGCCCTGTTTTTCTCCTTTAGAATATGACCTGAGTTTAGGTCCTAAACCCTCATCTTCTTGTTCCCTGCTGTTCTGACCTTATTTGATAAGCTAATGCTGACCTTTGTGTGCTAACACACCCATCTGTGTCTCCAGACTGTTGGTTCCACGTGTTAACACTGGGCATTTTGTGTTTATATGCTAAGAGTCTTAGGAAATGGCTCTTCTTCTTTCCTGTATTCATTGTCTCATAAACCGTGTGCTGATACCACAAGTATCTAATCTCAGTGCTCAGGAGGCTAAGGCAGGAGGGATCACAAGTTTGAAAACAGTACAGGCCATATGACAGGACCCAGTTTAAAGATGAAAAGAAAACGAGAAAACACACACACACACACACCAGGCAGGCCTAACCTGCAGCCTCCAGGTAATATCTTTGTGTTTCTGTATTGACTTACTTTACCCACCCTACAGATCTTCTCTGAGGCTGGGAAATGGCTTTCTTGGTGAGTGTTAAGGGATGTCTGTCTTTTCTCTTTCCTGTTTTTTTTTTTTTTTTTTTTTTTTTTTTATTCCCTCCATAGCAACTCATCCCCACTTTTGCAGACAAGAGTGGGAAAGTCCAGAGAATTAGCTCCTAGTGGTGCCAAGTCAATAGTACCAGGGGCCCCCCTGCCCACAGCTCATACTACCCGGGCTCTGATCGTTGAACTTTCATATTTAGGGTCAGACAAGATACTAGTGGCTCCAAATGCAACAACCGTGGTTTTCCTGAATGACAGGGGATGCCCTAGATAACTTCGGCTTCATTCTGTAGGTTAGGAGCCTAGAGTTGAAAGGAGAGGACTTGTTCAAGGTCACACTATGAGCCAAAGACTGGATTCCATGGTTTGTCTCACAGCTGAAGGTGGTATGATATGAGGGTGGTGTTGGGGAAACCAGATCAGAAACAGGAGGCCGAAGGGTAGAAGGACACTTAGACAGGGACTTAGCTGAGGGCAAGCACCTCTATTTCATTGGGTAGATTTAGTGCCACTTCTAGAGAGATGGAAGCATGTTATCATTAAGTGCTGTGCCAAGATCAGATTCCAAGTTTACCTGACACTGCATCCATGTGTTCACTTTGGGCCAGACCACTGAGAGGTTTGCAAACCCTGGGACCCAAGATCAGGCCTTCTCTCCTTCCAAGGAACCAGTTCTAAAGGCAGCCATTTACTTCCCTTAGCTGGCCTTCTTTGAAGGTCCCAAACCTAACTGGGTCTCTACAGGAAGAAGCTACCTTCTCAGGGTGACGATGTTGAAGAGCTCAAGGCACTGTCACCAGCAGAGTCCCTAGTGGTGGCCTGGTCAGACCCCACCACCCCACAGGAGGCTGAGTAAGTGGAGTCACTCCTGACTCTCAGAGACATCAAGGTTGGTTTGGGACGGGCAGACAAAGAAAGGAGCGGAACCTGTGGTGCTTGTAGAACCCCACACAAGGTGAACTTTAGTGTTTTGGAGTGGTAAGGGAGAGCAGCTCTCCGCCTAGAACTTTCCTGGTTGGTACAGAGTTGGTCTGAACTCTAGGCAAGATATGTTCATCCCACAATGATCAGAGAGGAAGGAGTACCTAGACAGTAGTTCCCCACCCACCAAGATCTTGGCACTGAACCCCAAGTAAGTCAATAAGAGAAGAACATTAAGGTATGCTATAGGTCCCTACCTGAGAGCTTGTTAAACCTGATCCCAGGCTCTACACAGCGGTCCCAAAACTTGCATTTCCATAGCATTCTGTTGACTTCCATAACTGGTTGTAGGACATGGCTGGAGGCCATGGTAACAGATTTAGAAGCTGAGTCCCTGCATCTAACTGTCTCCAGGACTGGGCCATAATTAAGCGTCTTCCTGAAGGTTTTCAATGAACCCTGGTTGATGTTAGTGCCCAGCCTGGGACACTGGTCTAGACACCCTACCATGCTCTCTAGCCATGGCCCCCTGTATTGACTACAGAAACTTGAGGAGGGCCTGCCTCCTTCCTCTGTGCCTTTTCTGCCCATAATTTTATTATTTGTTTTAAAATGTATTTATTTGTTGTTATTGTAAGTGTGTATGTGATGTCAGGAGTCAGATGGGGTGCTATAGTAGATTAAGTTAGAGGACATCTTTGGGAATGTGTCCTCTTTGACTTTCTATTGGATTGGGGATGAACCCAGGGCCTTGGGCTTATGCAGTAAGTACTTATCCATCTTACTCGCCCTTTCTCCATAATTTTATTCACTTTGTGGCTACCAGAGTTGTGGAAAATTCAGAAAAGATAGACTTAGGGAATCTCCAAATCTTACACAGTCCAGCTGGCACTTTAACACATGACTTATATTTTATGTAGCAGAGCAGGGGTGTAGTTCAGATTTTACTAAGAAAAATACAGCAGGAATCAGAACCATAAAATTACCCTTAGGATTATATAAGGAGGTCAATAGAGACCCACCTACAGTCATGTAGGCTAAGCTGCTATAAAAATATAGGCCCTGATGGTTCAGTGACTAAAAATACAGATGTCTCATATACAGTTATAGTCACAGCACAGTGGAAAGCAATCATTTAGGGACCCAAGTGGCAGTGACTCGGTATCTCCATGTATAAGACATTCTGGATAAGACTAGAAAGAGAAAACTTCAGCCATACATGGTGGTACAGGGCTATAATCTCAGTCCTTCTAGAAGCCAAGAGAGTGGAGTGGGTCTGACACAGGTAGTGGGGCAATTAGGCTTGATTGGCCTCCCTGGGCTTTGCTGGAAGTGGAGGCATAGACATTACTCAGCACACCTAGGGTCCTGGGAACCCTTCCTGTTTGGTGTCTATCCTCGGTGGTGTTCTCACAGTGGCCAGGATCGTGCAGCCTCCACAGCCAGCCAGAAGAGTGCCATCATCAACGACCGGCTCCAGGAGCTGGTGAAGCTGTTCTAGGAGCGGACGGAGTAGGTGAAGGAGAAGCTATCGACCCTGATGTCACTTCTGAGGAGGAGAGCCCCCTAGCCTTGTGAGTGGGGGTCAGAGGGGGTCACAGGCCAAGGAGGCTGTGGTGCCCCGGAGAACCCCATCACCTACTACTGGGGAGGGTGGCAAAAGCAAATGTTTGGGGTTTGTGAGAAAAGCTCAGTCCCCCAAACCCTGGATTTGGGGCTTAGATGTGTATTTGGGAGAGGAAGGTCAAATGTGACCTTGGCCTTCCCACACCTGTGGTTTATAGACTCTTCTGCCTCCTTCTCCCAGATGGAAGGGCAGCCAGGGTCTCAGGTTTGTTCTTAGGGATAATATAGCTGCTCTTTTTCTCATTCTCTCTCTCTCTCTCTCTCTCTTTTTCTTTCTCTCCTCCCCTTTCTCTCCTCCCCTCTCTCTCCTCTCTCTCTCCTCTCTCTCTCTCCTCTACTCTCTCTCCTCTCTCCTCTCTCTCTCTCCCCTTCCTCTCTCCTCTACTCTCTCTCCTCTCTCCTCTCTCTCTCCTCTCTCTCTCTCTCTCTCTCTCTTGTCCTGGAACTCACTCTTGTAGCCCAGGCTGGCCTTGAACTCAGGATCCTCCTGCCTCTGCCTCCTGAGTTCAGGGATCAAAGGCACGCACCACCACTACTCGGCATCAGGAGCCTTTATATTTATAGGTATTTATGTCTTGCCGGGGCCACCTTAAAAGTTTTTTTCCCCTTTTGAGACAGATCTCATTCATAGCCCCAGCTGGTTTAGAACTCAGCCAGTAGCCCCTAGGTTGGCTTAGAAGTCATGGCCATCCTCCCACATCCTGGAATTACAGGTGTGAGCCAGTGTACGGACTAACATTCCTTCCTTTTAGGAGCCATCTGGCAAGGTGCTAAATGTCTGGAATCCCTGAAGCTGGGAGTCCGAGGCTGAGGATCACAAGTCTGGGGTCAGCCTGACTACATAGGAGGTACTACTGAAGCAGAAACAAAGAGAAAGAAAATGAACAAGAACAAACTCAACATGTTTTCTTTGCTTTTTCTTTTTAAAATTGAGTCTCACGTGTTGTCCTGGCTGGCCTGTAACTTACTTTGTAGACCAGGCTGGTCTTAAACTCACTGAGATTCAGCTGTATCTGCCTCTCAAAGTACTAGAATTAAGTGTGTGCCACTATACCCAGCCCCACGAATAAGATTTTTGTCAGGAATATTTTCTAATTTTTTCTGACAAGGGTTGTACACTGGGACTCAAATGCCCACAATAGATTATCACAAACTGACTTCACACCTTAACACTAGAAACACAGCTGTGTTGGATCCCTAGAGCCAAGGCACAGTATCACAGACCCACAGAAGGCTGAATCCCAGCCAGGTAAAGGAGCTGAGTCTGAGTCAACATGTCCCCTGTTGGCTGATCCTTTCAGCATTCTGAGAGGAAGATGGGAAGTGTGGGCATCAAAGAAGCAAGGGGTCCACTGACACACAGACAGACAGATGTGCGTGCCTCACACACACACACACACACACACACACACACACAAACACACACAGAGACAGAGAGAGAGAGAGGAGAGAGATGAAATGTGCTCTTGAGAAACACCTCCTGGCTGGGGTCTAGGAAGAGCTGCCAGGGACCAGACTGCTGTGAAGAGAAGGCCATGGAGTTCCTCCTGAGGAGTATATTGACTTCTGCAAGTTGTGTGCTAGGAAGTGTGGAGGCCCTGCTGTCCCAGATCCGTGGGTGGAACCCTTTCCCCCACATCCTCTACAAAGCCTCAGGGCTGGGGCCGATGGCTCCTAATGTCATCCCACAGGCCCCAGCCAAGAAGGCTCCAGAGCCAGCCCCAGCCCAGAAGCCTGCAGAGGCAGAGGCGGAGGCAGAGGAGGAACACTACTGTGACATGCTCTGCTGCAAGTTCAAGCGCAGACCCTGGAAGATGTACCGGTTCCCCCAGAGCATCGACCCTCTGACCAGTGAGTCCCCTTGGAGGGGGTCCCCCACATGCAATATGAGAAGGGAGGCAGCGTCCAATGCCATGGACATCCTTGGTTCACGATTCCTTACACTTTTCAAAAGTGATTCCACATGCTCTTGCCTGATTCTTTAGCACAAGTCCCTGGACTAGGAACATAGGCCACACCCATTTCACAGATGAAGAAGCTGAGGCATAGAGAAGGACCTGAAATTCAGCCAGTTAGACTCCTCACCTTGACCATGGCCAAGTCTTCTTTCTAACCTTGTTGTGTGGGCTCTTTCCTGGAGCCCCTGCTCTGAGCAGGGGCAGGGCGAAGTTCCCCATAGTCTGAAGTGAATTCCTGTGATCTGTTCCACAGTCCTCCAGCCCAGCATCCTCCACCCATGTACCACCCTTCACAGTGCCCCTTGACTTCTCAGCTGGTGACTTCCTGTGACCGTGAAAAGACCAAGGCGGGTGTCAGAGAGGAATTTCTTTAAACTGGGAGTCACTCAAGGGCAGACCCTTAACCCTGCTGTCTACTGGGTTTCTAAGATACCAAGTGATCTCTAGTCTGTCTGTGAATCCACCCACCTGTGTGTCCATCCATCTGTTCATTTCCCATGGGTCATTTACTGCTCTGGATTTCCTAAGACAAAAATTTATTGTCAAAACCTGTTCATGGACTGGTGAGGTAGCTGAGTGAGTAAATATGCCAGCCAGGCTTGACAACCTAAGTTCCATCCCCAGGAACCACATAGTGAAAGGAAAGAACTAACTCCTGAGAGGTGACCACTGACCTTCAAAATGCTCTAAAATACCCTTCTGCCCCCCATAAATGGATGAATGTGATACAAAATTGTAAATATGGAAAGCAGGAGGGGTTTCCACTTAGCTGTCTGTTATCCAGTAATGCCACCATGCCCCCCATCAGAAGACTGATCTTTTAGGGCCCCTCAGAGCCTTCCATGGCCACCTATCCACTCATCCACCTGTCTGCCCATCTGTCTGTTGTTCACCGGATGAAATCCACACGCCTTTCCCAGGTGAGATGCCCTTTCTTGCTGGCCTTCAAGCCCATCCCTGTCCCCCGCAGACCTCATGTACATCTTGTGGCTGTTCTTTGTGGTTCTTGCCTGGAACTGGAGCTGCTGGCTGATCCCTGTGCGATGGGCCTTCCCATACCAGCGGCCAGACAACATCCACCTCTGGCTGCTGATGGATTACCTGTGTGACTTCATCTACCTCCTGGACATGACCGTGTTCCAGATGCGCCTGCAGTTTGTCAAAGGCGGGGGACATCATTGTGAGTCACAGGCAGGAGGAGGGGGTGGCCAGGGCAGATCCTCTAGCCAGGGCCTTCAGGGGACTGACCTTAGATGCTGTGACAGGTGACAAAATGGATGAACAAGGAAATCCTGGGAGCAGCTGTTCATTTTTCCCCCTGCCTCTTGCATGTGTTCAGATTATACATATTAGATGCCATTCGATGATGAACTGGTTCCCAGACCATCTGATAGAATTAAAGGAGAAGTGGTCCAGAGAATAGCACCTGCTTCAAATTCTAGCTGAAGCCCTGTCTGAGCGTCAGTGTTCTTATCTGGGAATGGCTGGTGGCAGCTCCCCTATGGTGCAAGTATTGCTGTGAGAACTAGATGTTGCGTGCAGGGTTCACGGAGCTGTGTGCCTCCTGCAAAGGCACTGCTGGTGCCGATCTGCCGTATGGAACAGCCTAAGCTGGCTCTTACTGTGAGGAAACCAAAACCCTAACTGTGGCTCTGTGGTGTGATCCATGCCTGTAATCCCAGCATTCAGGAGGCCGAGGCATGTAGAGCGGAGTTCAAAGCTAGACCAGGCTGTGTAGTGAAATTGTCTTTTTTTTCTTTTTTGATTTTTTCAAGACAGGGTTTGTCTGTGTAGCTTTGGCTGTCCTGGAACTTGTTCTGTAGACCAGGCTGGCTTCAAACTTACTTCCTCTGCCTCCTGAGTGCTGGGATTAAAGGTGTGTGCCACTGCCACCCCAGAAAAACCCTGTCTTAAAAACTTAGGTGCGGGGGGGGGGGGGGTTGGGGGAAGAGATAGGAGAAAGGAAAGGGAGAGGCAGACATCCCAGTTTCCAGTACGGTGAACACTTATTTTCTAAAATTCCACGCTGTGTCTCCTTCTTCCAGACAGACAAAAAGGAGATGCGCAATAACTACCTGAAGTCTCGCCGGTTTAAGGTGTGCACTGGGGGGTGTGTGTGTGTGTGTGTGTGTGTGTGTGTGTGTGTGTGTGTGAGGGGAGTGGGGGGGATGAGATGTTGCTGCTGAGTCTCTGAAGGACTGGGTATTTGGGGGGCATGTGTCATGTAGTTCCCGGCACATAAAGGGGGCTAGTCCCATCTCCCATGGAGATGCTCACTAAGTTGTAAGCCTTCTGAGACATCCCAGGCTGGGTGACCCTCACAGAACACCTTTCCATGTCTGTGCCTCCACTTCCAGTTAGGCAGCTTAGGGTCCCTTACAATGGTTGGTGACAGCTGCACTGGAGATGGGCACCACGCACTATGAAGCCACACAGGGGTGTGTGGGTGGGAAGCCTTGTGCTGTTCTGAGAATTCTGACCCTTCTCTCTGGCAGATAGGGACATGCCCTTTAGTCCCTCTACCCCCAAGTTTTTGTGCCTTATCCTCTATGGTGCCCCATTGGGATTTCAGATGGACCTGCTCTGCCTGCTGCCCTTGGACTTTTTCTACTTGAAACTTGGAGTGAACCCCCTCCTTCGCCTGCCCCGCTGCTTGAAGGTAGGATTGGCACTGCCACTTGGGCAGGGAAGGTGTTCCCAAGAGAAGACCCTGGGGAGGCCAATGCCTTCAAAACATGCCTTCACAAGAAGCTTGTTATAATTGCCGGTGACTTGGGGACACTCTTGTTCATCTCTGATCCAGAGACTTTCCTAATTCTAGTCCTTCAATTCCATCACTTAAATACTGTTCTTACCATTTTAAGGAAAGGGGCACAGAGAGGCTAAGGAACTTGCCTGGTGTCACACAGCTAGGCAGGAGTGGAGTCTGGATTTGAATGTAGGCAATCTAGCTCTAACTTCATCCTTACAGAGCTTCCTCCAAGAAGGGGCTTCTGCTTTATAATGGACTTCATTCAAAAGATGGGGAAATTGGCCCTTGGAAGGCCGGGTGACTTGCCCACGGTAACAGGAGTAAGGCTGTGTCAAGGACAGAATTGAATGGCAGCACCCTCTTGATCCGTACTCAGTGTCGTCCCATTGTTTTTTCTGACACTCACTGGCTGGACCTGGAGTCCTAGGAGGATCTGTGTGATGCAGGGTAGAGATCTGACATGTGAATGTGGTCAGGACTGATGGCTACTCAGAGCACTCTGGATCTCCTATATGGGCTTTTCTAGCCAAAGAATTACTAGCGGGGGGGGGGGGGGGTTGCCTGGTGGCCATCGGGTAGGGTGAGAGGCAACAGCAGTGCACCATGTCCCCAGAAGGCACAGGACCACCCTGACACCTTCCTCTCCCTCCTAGTACATGGCCTTCTTCGAGTTTAATAACCGCTTGGAAGCCATCCTCAGCAAAGCCTACGTTTACAGGTGAGAGTTCCCCATGCACGCATGTGCACATAGGCATGTCAGCGTGTGTATGCTCACACACACACACACACACACACACACCATACCCCCTAGCTGCTCTCCCTGCCCCAGGCCTCTTGACCTCCAAAAGCCAGGCCTCTTCTTGGTCAGCCTCTTCTCTGGAAGAATGTTTGGCTTGTTTGTTTCTTTTATAGGATCCAGGAATGTCTTATTTATTCCCCCCTCCCACTGTGACAAGGACACTCACAGGTTGACTCAAGTGACAAGTCAGCTTTTCTGTCAGTCCAGGGAACTGAAGCCCCCCCCCCAGCTCTAACAGAAGGGACCATCTGTAAGAACACAGTGGGTACAACACAGATGTTAAAGGTAGAGCCCAGGACCAGCTAGGCCACACTCGGGGAGCAAGGCTCCTTGTTCCTGCATCATTTCGTTGTCATTTCTCTGCACACACCTGTCTCCTCCCTGCTCTTCCTCAGGCCATATTTCCCCTTTGACCTCTCAGCTTTCCCAGCATTCATCTGCATAGATTTTTCTGCCGCAGCTGGGCTGAGTCCAGCCCTGCATTTTAACAAGGCCCCAATCAAGTGCCCTGGGTTCAGTTCCAACCCCCTCTGCAAAGAAAAGCCTGAACTGACTAAGTGGTGTGTCATGCAGTTAACTATTCCTTAGAATTAAAGGAATCCAGCAGAGGAGAGAGGGGAGAGTAAAACTGGGTCTGACTGGGTGACTGGGCAGGGTTATGTGGTTCCAGCAGGTGAGCCTCGGGGAGCTGAGATGTAGTTCTTTCCCTGAAGTGCTGCCCCTGGGGCAAGGTGTCACCTCCCTGGCTGTGTCACTCTCTCTCTTCAGAGTTATCAGGACCACCGCCTACCTGCTGTACAGCTTGCACCTCAACTCCTGTCTTTACTACTGGGCATCGGCCTTCCAGGGTATCGGTTCCACTCACTGGGTTTATGATGGTGTGGGGAACAGGTGAGCCAGGCTTCCCTGGGGCATCACATGGGCCTCTACAGTTACAACCATTGCATTGCCAAGACAACCTTGCTCCTGAGGAGCCACTCATGGCCAAGGTTCCAGGGCCAAGTTCTCCTTTCCCGTCCATCTCCCTAAGAGAAGGTCTCCTGGGAATTGCAAGTGCCAGGAGAGGGTGTGGGCATGAGATGTGCTAAGATCTTCTTAGCATCCCAAGTCCAATAAGGTTGACAAGTATACCACACAGACTTTAGTGTGAGAAAAATTTCAGGGCAGGGGACAAGGGCTCATGGATAAAGATGTTCCCCATAACGTCATTCATCATATAGAAAAAAAAAAAGGAAATGCCCCTTGGGACCAATGAGGGGATTGCTGGCAGAAGACGGCACGGTTAAGAACATCTATGTGGTATTGTGTTATTTTACCTCCCCTGTGGGGCGACCTACTTTTTCGGATTTTAGCATTTCTAAATTTGAGGTATAAGGATAATCCATGTGTATGTTTAACATGATGTTTATTTTTGTACAAGAGGCTGAATCTGGGTTTAAGGTGCAGATCAGTGGGAGAGATCTTGCTTAACATGCACAGGGCCCTGGGCTCAAACAAAAAGAAAAACAAACCTGAGTTGACTCATCGGTGTGCTATGCAATTACTGCATCTTAGAACTGAAGAAATGTAACAGGAGAGTGTGTTCCCGGTCTTTCTCTTGAGAGTCAGCATCAGCAAAGTATTTCATATGGCATTATGCATATATGTATATCTAATACGGTGGATGGCAAACAACATACCTTAGCTGGTTCCCTACTGCCTAAAGCAAGGCTATGCAATTAATGCAATGTTACTATACGACGTGACTCATACACACAACTTGAAATGTTTTAATGGCTACATTATAAACATAAAAGGAGGTGAAATTAATTTTAGTAATGTATTTGATTAATCTCAAAGACAACATTATCCTTTCCACGGGTAATTGCTATGTTAAGCATGAGTGACAGGTGGTTGACTAGACAGTGGAGTGCTAGTGTGCTTCCTCTATACCTTTCAAATCCGGTGTGCATTTCACACCCATAGCACACAATTGTATGTGAATCTCTAGCCTCCGGCTTCTTTGCTTTCTTATGATATACACACATTTTAAGTTCTGGGGGATAGAACCCAAGGCCTTCTTGGGTGGAAAATAAACTAAGTGTTTTAAAGACAGTCTCTCTAAATTGCCCAGGTTGGCCTTGAATTCACTCTGTAGTCCAAGTTGGTGCTGAACTTTCTATCCTTGTTAGCTTCCGGAGTGCTTGGATGCCACCTAAGAGTCTTGTGACAAGCAGTAACAACAAAACAAAAACAATGAATGTGAGTGTGTGGCTGGCGCCTGGATGCCAGGTCTGTGTGTGCCAGCTGTGAAGGCCAACGTGCCAGGGAAGGGTTCAAACATCCCCAGCCTGGAAGCAGAAGCTAAATTCTGAGAATATATCAGCTGTTCTGGGTAGTTTTCTGTCTCTCCTTCCAATTCTCAAAGGAGTCTGGGCGCCAGAATCTGAGAACCCCTTCTCAGCGGCAAGCTAGACTGGCAGGCCTAAAAGGAGAGATCAGTAGATTTCTGGGACCTTCTTCTCAAGGACCCTGGGGTCTAGCCCTGCTTGCTGACACCTGTTCTTTCCCAGGGGAGAGTCCTCAGGGACCCTGGATACGGGAACAAAACGCAGTAACAGAAAATTCTTCAAGTTCAATAGCACACACACTATCACCACTTCCTGGGAGTCTGCTGTGTGCTGGAGCAGGAACCTTGGAAAACCAGTTCCCACCTATGGTAGTGTTTTGTGCTCTGTCCCAGCTTGCATTGCTGAGCTGGGACCACTCCAGGAGGTACCAATATGTGCCCAGTCTGTGGGAGATATTCCAATTGGAAACGTTTAGGGAAAAGCCAGGACTTTGAGGATGCCACTCTTACACCTTTTGTGGTTCACTACCTAGTTGCATGAACACTCAGCTTCCCCCACAGTTGAGTTAGTTAGATGGCTGATAGGGAAGCAATAGGGGTGTGTGGGGGAGTGTGGGTGTGGGTGCCACTCAGTTCTGCCTAAGTTGCTTCATGCGCCCTCTTGTGACCAGTACTGGTATGGCGTGTGTTGTCATGGCAGATGGGTCTGTTGTCATCAAATGTCCAGGCAACTGATGACATGGAGCCCTGCCTACTATCTCCCAGTTAGTCTGAGGCAGAGGGGGTGCACGCACACAAGCACACGTACACACACGCCTGCCACACTCTAGCTGCCGGGATCCCTCTCGGCGTAGGTGTGCTTTGGGGTGCTTGTTCTCACTAAGTAGGAAGAGTCTGGAAAATGTGGCTTTGTTCTCCACAACAGGTGCTGGCAGGCACAGCACCGCGCAGGTCTTGATGGCTGACTTATGGCCTGGTCACTCTTTTAGCAGCTCACTTCATCCTCACAGTTGCCTGGGAACAATGTTCCTCTACTGCGCCCATTTTATGGAGGAGGCCAGCTGCAGGGAGTGAAAGTCAGCCCATGCAAGAAAGTGGCTCTAGGGCAGTGATCCTCAACCTGTGGGTCCTGATCCCTTTAGGGGTCGAACCACCCTTTCACAAGGTTTGCATATCAGATATCCTGCATGTTATTTATGCTGTGATTCATAACTAGCAAAATTATAATTATGACATGTTAACAAAAATAATTTTATGAGGAACTGTGTTAAAGGGTCATAGCAGAAGGAAGGTTGAGAAACACTGCCCTAGGACCTGTGATTTGGCTGCACCCTGCCACCCTCCACCCCCTGACTTCAGGAATGACCCAGACTGTAGTCAGGTATACCAGGCCTGATGCTTTGTGACCATTAGACCATTGCAGGGTACTTCCTGTGCCTTTTTCCAATACAGTAGGACCTCACCACCTGTACTTCCTGTCCCAGGGACCCTGAGCTTGTACCCGTGCTACCTGAGGATGTATGACTGCTTAGAGCAGCAGACCATGCCCTGGGCTCTTGTCAAAGTTCTGGAATGAGACCATGAGTCCTTTCCCTTTGTGAGTCTCAGTTTCCCTATGTGAGGGAAGGACAGGGTTAGGAAAGATACAATGGATGAGTGTGTAGCACATGCCAGACAGGCAGATCTCTGTGAGTGTGACGTCAGCCTGGTCTATATAGCTGGAGCTACATAGTGATACTCTGTCTTAGAGAGGGAGGGAGGGAGAGAGGAGAGAGAGAGAGAGAGAGAGAGAGAGAGAGCACAGCTGTACCTCAGCGGTCATGGGACTAGCTCCAGAACCCCTGAGGATTCCAAACTCCAAGTAGATTCAAGTCCCTTATGTGAAATGACATAGTGTTTGCATGTGACCTGCCACACCCTCTCAGAGAACACTCCATCTCTAGAGCCTTCACAATACCTCATACAGTATAGTCACTGTCTGATGGTTGCTGTACTGAATCATTAAGAAATGACAAAAAAGTCAGTACAGACACAATGGTTTTTCAAATCTTTGCGTGCGTGCGTGCGTGCGTGCGTGCGTGCGTGCGTGCGTGTGTGTGTGTGTGTGTTAGTGGGGACTGAATCCAGTTAGACACATTTTTCTGCCAAGTGTTTCCCATTTGCAGCTGGTTGGGTCTGCAGAAGCAAGCCCTTCAGATGTGGGGGCCAGCAGTATCTGCTGTTTTGTTTTCTTTCTTACTTTCTGTGGGGGGGGGGAAGACTAGAAACTGAGAAACTGAGGGAGCCCAGTCACCAGGGCCAGTCTGTCTTCCTGCCAGCTCTTCCTTGCTGTCTTCTGGAACCTCCTTGGCCCTGATGGCCTCCCCTTTGCTAACTTCGGGGGAGGGGTGAGCATGGAGCTGTGGCCAGGTGTCTGCTGGAACCTCAGTTCCATATCTGTTTCAGGGTGACATGTTTTCACATGGCTGGGACAAAGCCTCAGTCACACCTGGTAGCATTTGAGAAGGTGATTTCTTGCATTTGTGGCTATATGGGGTCCCTCTGTGTGTCTGAACCAGGATTGAAAGGTCAACAGTTCCAGTACTGACCGAGGTCCCTCTTCTCATCTCTTACTAGTTACATCCGATGCTACTACTGGGCTGTGAAAACGCTCATCACCATTGGCGGGCTGCCTGACCCCCAGACGCTCTTTGAAATTGTCTTCCAGCTGTTGAATTATTTTACAGGTGTCTTCGCTTTCTCTGTGATGATTGGACAGGTAGGTAACTGGGGTTACACCCACCTGTGACTCCCTCGCCCAAAGCTAGAAACTTCCCTGTGTATTGTGGATTTGGGATGGAGCTCAGGGAAGACTCAGGCTGAGCCAGGAGCCCATGGCATTTGGAACAGGAGGATGTCTGTGTCTCTGTGTCCCAGGACTGCCTGAGGTCTATCTGTTTGAATGTTAGTCCCTTGGGAGCATGGCAAGCCAGGTGGCTACATGGCTTTTTTAAAGGCTGGGGACTTGGGCCTTGCCCTGTAAGAAAACCATTTAGAGTTTCTGATGTGATGGGTAACTTGTGTTCTAGTCAGGATATGAGGCAACAAATTGAATCTTCAAAGCAAACTTGGAAGGGCCCCACTCTGAGAAACAATATGCCAGGTTCAGCGTTCCTCCCTGGGGAGAGTGCCTGTACACCAGAATCAGCCTGTCCCAATGGGACACCCCACCCCAGCATTGTGGTGGGGACCTGAGATGGCCACAGACGTCTGCAGCCTTGCTTCCTGCTCCCAGTGTCCATGCTTTATGTGTGGCCACAAGCTTAGGTGCCCGATGTGTGTACTGCTACATAACCAAACCTGTGTCCCACCCAGCTTGGGCCCAGTACTTCCTTGACCTCCCCTCACTTGCTCTAGATGAGAGATGTGGTGGGAGCCGCCACAGCAGGGCAGACCTACTACCGCAGCTGCATGGACAGTACAGTGAAGTACATGAACTTCTACAAGATCCCCAGGTCTGTGCAGAACCGTGTCAAGACCTGGTATGAGTACACCTGGCATTCACAAGGCATGCTGGGTAAGACTGGCCAAGCCCCCATACCCCCTACCTCCCCCAACCAACTTTCACATGATTCCCAGATTGGCCAACTCTTCCCTTGTCCTTTGTGACCTGAGGGGGTCTCTCTTGGTTGCACCCTTGGCATTGCTATTAGAGGGACCTCTCCAGGCCAGTGGAGACCCTGAAACACCTAAAGAGCTTGTTCTCTGGACAGCCACTTTCCTCTTGCTTCATCTGCCTTAAGATGCAGCTCCATCCAAGGTGGAAGCAATTGCGACCAAGGATGCAGCCAGGCATGGCAGCTCAGACCTAGGATCCCAGCACTTAGGAGGGCTGCTTTAAGTTTGAGTCACCAGTAGACTACATAGCTAGACCTTGTGTCCAAATGAATAAAGTGGAGGTGGACCAGTCAGATAGCTCAGCTGGTGGAGAGGCTTGCTGCCAAGTGTGATGGCTCAAGCTTGTTACCTAAATGGTAGGAGAGAACTGACTTCCACAAGTTGTCCTCTGACCTCTATGTATGTAATATGGTGCATGTGTGTATGCACACGTGCGCATGCACACGTGCGCACACACACACACACACACACACACACACACACGATGTTAAAAAAAAATCAAAGTGGTGGTGGCAGGTGCTACAGAATAGAGATCACTGATACAAAAGCTGGGTAGAGGCATCAAAGTCAGGCGTCCTGGAGGAAGTGCCATTAGTCCTTAGTTTTTTTGTTTGTTTTGTTTTTTGTTTTTTTGAGACAGGGTATCTCTGTATTGTTTTGGAGACTGTCCTGAAGTATCCCTGTAGACCAGGCTCTCCTCGAATTCACAGAGATCTGCGTGCCTCTGCCTCCCAAGTGCTGGGATTAAAGGCCTGCACCACCAATGGCCTGGCTTAGTTTTTAGTTTTGAAGGATGAGTAGGAGTTTGGAATGGTGGGGGAACTCTCAGACTCTGGAGAGGCTCCCTGTGGCTGGGGAAGCTGAGCTGGCTGAGCAGGGCCTCGTGTGTTTGCAAGGCTGTGGTATGGGGGCAGGCCTGTCCTGAACTCTGACCCCTGCTGGGTCTCCTTCCCAGATGAGTCAGAGCTGATGGTGCAGCTTCCAGACAAGATGAGACTGGACCTGGCCATCGATGTAAACTACGATATCGTCAGCAAAGTGGCGCTCTTCCAGGTACCCTCACAAGTGTCCTCCCACTAGGGGATCTGGGACAAAACCCCTGCCTTCTTCTAAGAGACTCCTCCCCCTTGGTCTGGGCAGGGCTGTGACCGGCAGATGATCTTCGACATGCTCAAGCGCCTTCGCTCAGTTGTCTACCTGCCCAATGACTATGTGTGCAAGAAGGTGAGCAGTGCGCAGTGGGGGGTGGGGTGAGGAGGGAGGTGAGCAGTGCGCAGTGGGGGTGGGGTGGGGAGGGACCACACCTGCAGGGCCTGTGGGGGGTCTGCTCCCCAGCACAGCAGTCCCACTACAGAGGAGGTAGAGGGTACCTATAGCCCGAGCAGGGACAGCCTGCTGTGGAGGGTGCCCTGGGCTCTGTCAAGTGCTTCCAAAGCTCCCTTCACACAGAGGAGGCTGCAAAATTGCCAAGCTGGTCTTGGCCTTCCCATCAGGAAAGTGGGTAGTTTACAACCCCTGAGGTGTTTTATGAATTTATTTAAGGTGAATTAGTCCTTAACCTTTAAAATCTGGAAGATTTCACACGAAAATTCAAATGTTTGGATGAAACAGAATTTTGGCTAGCTCTTCCCACAATAGCAAGAGAGCAGGGGTTGTCCCTAAAGGGGACAGGTGATGCCCTGTCTGATGCCATGGGCCCCATCACTCTGTTCCACCCCACACCAGGTTGCCTTTGTTGCTTTGAGTCACCTAGGAAACACATACGTTAGAATCTGGTCCTTGGCAGTATAAAGCCCTTTGTGTTCCTGTCAAGGAGTCCAAGATGGCAGCAAGGTCACCAGGGGCAGCAAGTCTCAGGTCTTTTGTACGGAGATATTAATAAGTCTGGGTGAGTGTGTGGGGTGAAATCAGTGTAAGACTTGGGAGCCTCCAGCCTCTCTTAAAAATTATTATTTATTATTTTTGAGACAGGTCTTTCTCTATAACCCTGGCAGTTCGGGGAACTTACTATGTAGATCAGACTGGTCTTGAACTCACAGAAATCCTCTTTCCTCTGTCTCCTGAGTGTTGGGATTAAAGACATGTGTTGCCATGTCTGGCTTAAAAAAAAAGTCTTTTTAAGGATTTTATTTTTACTTATTTATATGGACCCCTGGAAGAGCAGTAAGTGTTCCTACCTCCTAAGCTCTGTCTCTCTAACCCCTCCTTTAAAATTACGTAATTGATTGGGGTATGAGTAAAAAGTCAGAGGACCACTTGAGGGATTTGGTTCTCTCTTTCCACCATGTGGGTTCTGGGGATCAAACTGCTCATCAAAATTGACAGCTATCCCTGGCCAAATGTGGCTCAGAGAGTTGCAGGTTGGACACATCTGCTGGGCAGTATACTATGCAGCAGCGAAGTTTCTGGAAATGAATGGCTGAGCCAAGGGAAGAGAATGAAATTCAGAAGGTTGAGCATTTAAAGCTGCTGCCTTAGGGGCAGGGGGATGTTTGGGACCCATAGAGGGCTTTGCAAGGTATGGGAGCCACTCCCTAGCGGAGCAGTGTCTCTCTGAGTCCTGATCTTATGGGTGAAGTATAGATAATCGATAGTGCCTCTTCCATCAGGTGGCTGGGAAGACTGAATAAGGTTTGCCTGTGGCACCAATTGCTGACAATGTTTTCCATGTGATTTTAGAGTTTGTGGCAGGTGAAAGATAACCTGGGTGTTGGGAAGCAAGTGTGCTCTCTGCTGTTGGCTCCTTTGGGACTCTCTAAGACACTGGGACTTGAACCCCCACATTTTGATCCCTTGTAAGACTGAAAAGAGAAGGCAACAGCAGATCGTGACTGTGGGTGACATGTAGGAACATTTGTAGAGTAAATTAAATTGTAAAGGAGTTTCCGCCACCCCTTTTAATCATGACAGGTGTAATTGACAGGTGGCCATCAAGGCAGGATCTGGGAGGGCACCGGATTGGAAGATGGGTGGCAAATTACTGTTTTTGATTAAAGCCAGAGCAAGCGATCCATTCATCCATTCCATTAGTTATTCATTTGTTCCCTTATTCATTCATTCCTCTGGTTTAAGTTAGAATTCAGGCTACTGTGTTCTAGGGCCAGCAGTCCAAAGTGAATGGCCATTTTCTCAGGTAGCAAGATGTTCATCTTCTCTTTGGCTCTCTTCTCCTTTACATTGTTTTCTGTAAGAATGCCAGTCGGACTGGATGAGAGCCAACATGCTCAAGTAGACCATCTTAATTGAATTACACATGCATCAACCTTATTGCCAAATAAGGGCCTATTGGGAGGTTCTGGGGATTAGGATTTCAGCAGACAGAGCCCAGGTCTGGGGACAGAGATTAACCACATCGGCCGTGCGCCCAGGAGTCAGGCTGTCTGGATTCAGATCCCAGCCTTGACTCGAACTTGCATTACAATCTTGGTAGGGCATAATCCTACCATAGCAGGTTCACTGGTGTGAAGCATGCCCACTAGCATCAGCTTGGAAGATGCACCGGGGCCTCTGGGCCTCCTGACCATTACTGTCATTCCTATCTCAACTGGCCGAGCTCCTAGGGCACTGGCCACAGGTTCTCTCTGGGATGGACCACGGGAAGCTGAAGAATAGACTAGCACCATACCCAACATTCAAAAGAAAAGACAGGCCAAGAGTGAATCACCCCCCTCCCACCACACGATCTGATGGTGCAGGTCTGGGGCAGCCTCAGTGGCTATGGGGTGTGGGACTCAGCCCTTTTCTATTCCAGGGGGAGATTGGCCGAGAGATGTATATCATCCAGGCGGGGCAGGTTCAAGTACTGGGTGGCCCAGATGGGAAGGCCGTTCTGGTGACACTCAAAGCCGGATCAGTGTTTGGAGAGATAAGGTCAGTAGTGGTGGGGGGAGGGGGTCCACGCACCCTAACAAGGGCAGGGGGTTAGGATCAGGGGAAATTACAGTGAGTACCAAACTGGCCCCTGCCAGCTTGTGTAGGGTGGGTGCCACCATGGCGTACCATGAAGCGGGTAGGGAAATGCAGAGTTGAGTTGGGTGGCATACACCTATAGTCCCAGTTACTAGGGAGGCTGATAGTGAATCAGCCTGAAAGAAATAAAGAAAATTCTATTTCAAAACCTAAACAATGCCAAATGTGATGGCCCATTGAGGAGACAGAGGCAGGAGGATCTCTGAGTGTTCAAGGCCAGCTGGCCTATATAGGGAATCCTAGGACAGCCAGGGCTACATAGTGAGATCCTGTCTCAAAGCAAAACAACATCAACAAAAATCTAAGGTAATCTCTCTAAAGCCACAGCCTCCAAATGTTCTCATTTCCCTCCCTTTTCGACTCCAGCTTGCTGGCTGTTGGGGGTGGGAACCGGCGCACAGCCAACGTGGTGGCCCATGGGTTCACCAACCTCTTCATTCTGGACAAGAAGGACTTGAATGAAATCTTGGTGCATTATCCTGAATCTCAGAAGTTACTCCGGAAGAAGGCCAGGTACAGAACCTCTTTCTTTTTTCTTGTCTGGCTTTGAGTGATGCTTGGGAGGAGCGTGTCCTCTCCTATGACTGTAATACCACAGTGAACATCAGAGAATTTGCTGCAGACACCATACTGTTCTCTCACCTCTAATCCACGCTGAGATTTGTCTGGAAGCTTTCTTCTCCTTCCTGCACCAAGTCAAAGGTCCTGTCCTGCATTAATGTGCCGAATCCCCTGTCTCCTCTGACCTGGGACAGCTCTTTGTGGTGTCTATCTCTAATGGCTTTGACCTCTTTGCAGCCATTGGGCTGGCTAGGTTTTGGAATGCCCCTTGGTTTAGGTGTGTCTGTTGCTTTCTGATGATGGCTTTTTTGGCTCTGCATCTGGTACAGAAATGATCATGGTGAATATGCCCTTCAAGGCAGCATATAGGCGAAAAGGTCTGGGTTCTTCCCAGGCGATGAGTTCACCTCAACCACACTGACACAGCTTCTGGACTGCAAAGTTACTCTTTCTTTGTACTTGACAAGCGGTTAGTGAGGACATCTTTGGGACTGCATAGATGTCCCTGTTCCCCTAGAATGCACCTGCCACTTGGTGGACACTGATCTGCCCATGGCTTCTTGCTCTTCACTCCTCAGTGGTCTGTCTGTGCCATCACTGTCCAATCTCTTCCTGCCTCCCACTCTTGGGCTCACACTCTACTATGGAAGACCCTCCCCGTGCTTGTTTATTACATGAGCACCATGCTTGTTTATTTATTACATGAGCAGGTGTTACTTTTGATGTCCCACTATAATTCAACATTTCCTTGTGTCTATGGGGAACAAACAGGTGCAGCAAGACAGGCTGGCCAACCTTGGGCTCCCACACCAACTCCCCCTGCCCAGAAATGGCAATTTCTTCAAGTAACCAAATTCCTTCTAGTGAGAAACATTTGGAAGAGTTTTGTGGGGCACAGGGGATGGGAATAAAGCCTGAGACCTTAATCCATGCTAGACATGTGTGCTTTACCACCGAGATATCTAGCTGTAGCTCACCAATGGATTTTAGAAAGCAAAATCTAATGTGTGTCCATGCCTATAATCCCAGAGGCGAAGGCAAGAGGATTGCTGCAAGTTCAAGACCAATCAGGTCTGTGCTTCAAGTTCCATGCCAGCCACAGCTATATTGTGAAACCATTTCTCAAAACAGTGAAGTAAAAATAGAATTGAAAGATCTGAACCTGAAGGGTACTCAGTGCTATGGGTGCTACCAGGCCCCCTCGTGAAAGGAGCCTAAGGGAGACAGCCCCATGCCTGTGTACATCAGTGTGAATATTTCCATATATGTATGCAATACACGTCTACATTGATTTTTCTATAGATGAATTGGGGGATCTATAAAACAATTTCTGATCATCCCTTCAGTTTGTTCTAGTCTCCCTTTCGATGCTTCTAACCTCCTTCCTGACACTGAGACTTTTGACTGCCTTTTATCTGTGTTGTATTTATTCATTTGTTCACTCCTATGATATAATGTTTCAGCATGTTTAACCCACCCACTGTGCAAAAACAACCCTTCCAAATAGAGTTCAGTGTTCGAACAAAGTTATTTTTGTTTTTGGCTCAAGTATCTATGGTAGAAGTATTGTGTTTGAAGTTATTTGGGTCAAGGGCTGGAGAGTGGCTCAGCAATAAAGGCCTTGGAACGCAGAGACTCAAAGGCCTCTCCAGTGCTGGAATTAGATGCATGTAACACCATGCCTAGCCAGCCTTGAACTTTTGAACTTCCTGCCTCAGCTTCCTGAGTGCCATGATCACAGGCGTGTGCTGCTGTGACTGGCAGAACTATTGTTTTGAGAACATAAAATATTGATAGGACTCCCAAAGTACAAAGCTGTACGCTCAGGAAAGTATCGCAAGGTCTTAGCTTGTCACCTGCCCCTATAAAGAGCTAAATGTGTTAGGTTTGTTTGGGGAATATTTTTCTTTCTTTCATTCTTTAGTACCCAGAGCCTTGTGCATACTGGACAGATGCTCTATCACTGAGCTTAACCTCCAGCCCTTAAGTTTATTATGCTTGATTTAGTTTTGGGGCTGATCTTGCTGGATTGGCCAGACTGTTATTCCGTGGTCCAGATGAGTGCTGTGTTCTTCATCTGCCCTCCTTAGCCTCCTACGTAGCAGGGCTCACAGATCCGTGCCCTCTAGTCTGGCTAACCTCATTGGTTCCCACTTTTCCCTCCCTGTTTTCAGTTTTCTTATTTCTCTTTATGTGAATGGTAGCATATTGTTGCATCATCTTCAGGCTCAGAGCACCTTCCTTCCCCTAGAGTGAGCACCCACGTGGGGCAGCACCAATGTTTTGCAGCTGTGAATAGCAGTGCAGCTGCATGTGCATGTGTGCTTGTGTTTTGTATTGGGAGATGGCTTATTTTACTTTGAGAAAAGCAGAGTTTTGCTTTCTAGTCCTTCAGATGAGGTTTCAAGTTGAGTGACTAAGGAAGCACCGTATGGTATAGAAGTCCACAGGCACCCAAGGGAGTCAGGGAGTTAAAGATTCACAAAGAGGCTCTTGGTAAAAGGTTTGCTGTTTCCTTTCCAACAGAAAGGGGCTGCTGCAGATGGGCATGGTCAGAGCAGCAGTGTGGCCCAGATTCTAACAGCAGACTCTTGACTCACAGACTCGCACAGGGTGGCCATAGCCGAGGTTGCCTAGTGTGCACTCTAGCTGGTGTCAAACATTGTGCCACTCTGTTCCTGAGAAGATCAACTCAAAAGGAGGAAAAGCTTGTTTTGGCTCTTGGTTTCAAAGGTTTCAGTCCATGCTTGCCACCTGTGGTGAGGAAGGACCTTGTGGTGAGAGAGAGAGAGGCATAATACTCTTCAATACTTGTTTGTTAATTTTTTTTTTTTTTTTAACGTATATTTGTCTCTAGTCCCTGCTCTCCTGCCTTATGCCCTTTCCAAGCAAAGGCCTGGAACACAGAGAATCCCATTCATATGGACACATCTGTCTGTCTGCACTGACTCAAAGCAGAGCAGCTGCCAGCAGCTGTCCCCTCCACTGCTCTTTGTCACTTCAGCACCAAACTGAACCTTCCTGCGGCCTGTCATGCATGAATTATGGACTTGCATAACATGGGTGACAGTGCCCAGGCTGCTCAGGAGCCTGCTTCCAAGGCTTCTGATAGATGATCGTGCTTGTGTCTCCCGGGGAAACCCAGGGAGAAATGCAAATCTCAGTCAATTAATATCACCACATGCAATTCAAGCCTGTTTGCTCTGATTAGCTAAGCATCCAGCAGCGGCCTCATTAAAATAAATAAACAAACAAACAAACAAACAAAAAACCAAAAAACAAACAAGTTGCACTGGAACCTAATGAATGAATTTGCCAATTAGCAGTCTCATCCACTAGATTGCATGCAAAATGCATTTGTTCTTGAATCAAGCTGTTTATCACATATTTATAGCTTGAAAAATTCCTAGTAAAAGGCACAGGCTCTGCTTGATGGGAAATTCTATCCTTATTCAAAGAAACAGGGTGCTGGGTCACACCTGATCACGAGTCTGGTTCTGCCACCACCACTTCCTGCCCCTATTCTGAGCCCGGTTTCCTCAGTTTCCAGGGACACAATAATCCCTGTCTTTCCCAGATAAAGCAGAGACCGGGCCAGCATGACTTTTATAATAACCCCCTTCATGAGAACTAGCCAGGGTCCCAGGAACTAGATCATTAACGATTTCCCAACAGGCCCTGCCTCTAAGACTCCATGCTGCCTCCCTCCCAATATCATCACGACTCTTGGAGATACCCTCAAACCACACCTGAACTAAAGCTGTGTCCTTCAGTCTGTCCAGTGTGACCTCATGCAAGTCAATCAACCTCTCTGAGCCTCAATGTTCTTATCCTTAGGGCACAGACAATAAGCCCCATCTCATTATGGCAGTTCTTTTTTTTTTTTTCCCCTTCATTATGCCCCAGCATAGCACACTGAAATCATCAGCCAAAGGCAGCACCAACGTTACTTCCACCACCCCACGTAGGGACAGCTCAGAGGGTTCTACAGGCAGGCCCAGGGGGCAGGCTTCTCCCCACAGCGCTTTGGATAGAAGTGGGTGTGGTTCTCTTTCAGGCGCATGCTGAGAAACAACAACAAACCCAAGGAGCCAAAGAGTGTGCTCATCCTGCCCCCACGTGCTGGCACCCCCGAAGCTCTTCAATGCGGCCCTCGCCGCTGCAGGAAAAATGGGCGGCAGGGGGGGCCAAGGGTGGCAAGCTCGCCCACCTGAGAGCCAGGCTCAAGGAACTGGCTGCCCTGGAGGCGGCAGCGCGACAGCAGCAGCTGCTGGAACAGGTAACATGGTTGGGATCTGGTTCTTCGCCTTTAGCAGGTTTGTTTAAGGAAGAAGGTCGGGGACCTCCAAAAGTTGATCACACCTCCAGTGTTGGGACTTTCTGTCTCCTTTGCAGCAGCAGGCCTTGTCTGGTTCAAGTGACAGAAGCAGGTTCAGCCAGATTGAGAACCCTCGATCGTAGGCGTAGCTCACGTGGGTGAGATGCTGATGCAGGATTGCTAACGAATTCTAGGCCAGCCTGGGCTACTACTTTCAAGGCAGCCTGAGCCACATCCCGAGACCTTGTCTCAAACAACCTCTAAGTATGACATTATGTTGACAGAATAGGAAGGCGAGAGGGCTTAATAGTTGTCTCTTCAAGTATGGCTGGACCTCAAGTTGCAGGACTAGTCTTCCCATCTGTAATCTCTCTCATCTGATGGCTCCACATCCTGTCACGTGGCAACCCTAACAGGAAGGGCATCTTACCCCCTAGAGCAAAGCCAAAGTCCCCAGGACTCGTCATCAGCCAGTGCTGGGCCAGTTCCTGAGCCGTTGCCAATGGGGCCAGGGCAGGGTGTCCCACACCTGCCCACTCACTCCTGCACTGGAAGTCAAGAGATAGTTCTCTGGGGAAGGCTTCGGTGCTGGCAGGAGGAGTGGGTATAGGCTGGGAATGCTGGCTGTGATATTCCATTTAATATAGTGTCTGTGACCATTTAAATGATTTGGAAGGAAAAAAAAATCCCATAGCTATGCACAGTGGCGTTGACTTCCACCCCTGTAATCTAAAGGGATATTGAAATTAGTTCCTGGGCCCTTTTTTCTGTGACTGAAGCCGAGAAGAGCTATTAGAATAATGGTAGTAATTTTACCTGCTCATAATGGTCTGGAAGTGGACAGTAGCAGTCTGTGTGGACAACAGAAGGCCAGTGAATGCAGCCCCAGTCCAGTGGTGTGAGTCAGGGCACACATTCAGGGTTCATTTGTCAGCAGAAGTTGGGCGAGTGACATCAAGGCCCCATGGGATTCCAGGACATTTCCCATACACAGCCCCAGACAGAGGGGAAATGTGATTGCTGTGATGGTCAAGGCTGAGTCTGCATGTTGGGGCTTTTGTGCTGGCTGCTGTCTTGAGGTCAAGTGGACGTGAGCCCAAAGACACTCAGAGCAGCTAAAGGCTTCAGCTAAGACGGGTGTCCATTCCTGTTGTGAGACTGTTCTAATAAGTGTCTGTGAGGTCTAGAAAGCCAGAGCAAATGCAGTGAATGGGCTCTTTACTAAACAAGTCCAGAGGCCCTGCCACTGCCACTCTGGGAAGGAACCCTGCACTCCAGAAGACACAGAAGACTCATGGTAGCCACACAGGACCGCAGAGCTGAAGCGGTAGTTCCCTTTTCAAAGTGTTTGAACATGGCATAGCATGTCATCAGCCTTCCCATGATCCTCCCATTCCTGTTTGTTTCTCTTGGCTTCAGAAGTTGCATCTGAACACCCTGCCCAGGGTGGGAATGTCTTGAGAGTTTGGGGTGCACATGTAGGGTAGAACAAGTGTAGGAAGACGTGCAGAGGCATGGAAGAAGAAGCAAGTCTCAGAGCTGCTTTGGAGTCTAGAAGCATCCCGATGCCCCCTTTCTTTAACACCTGTGACTTGTGCAAACTTCTGGGGGTCTCTGCTCCACACAATCACAGCAGCTGCGGCAGCTGAGGATCTTCTTGGATTGTTTCTTCTCCCATTGCCTTCCTTATAGAACTAGGGTGAGGTGAGAACCCAGGGATGTTTTTAATGCCTCCCCCATTACTTATTGATATCTAACAATACCCATGGAGAATCACAAGTTAGGGGTTGCAGCTGCCCACCGAGTTCGTGTTCACAGGGTCACTTCATCCTAATTTTTTTTCTGTTATCCCATTCCATTTTCCCTGTAAGGGCTTCAACTTTTGGAACCCTCTAGAAAAATGGCCAGGCCACAGGTACTCCTGCCCACTCAGCTTTACCTATGTGCTCCAAGTTTTTCTCACCCACCCCAGAACCATCCATTATTAATAAGAAGTGTGGGTATGCAGCCAGGTGGTGCTGGCACACGCCTTTAATCCCAGCACTCAGGAGGCAGAGGCAGGGACATCTCTGAGTTGGAGGCCAGGCTGGTCTACAGAGTGAGGTCCAGGACACCAGGGCCACACAGGCAAACCTTGTCTTGAAAAACCGGAAGAGGAGGAGGAGTGGGTGTCAGGATGGCTCAGCTTTTGAAGAGGCCAGTCTTCAAGGTTATCAGCTCCCCAGATAAGGTGGGGGATGGATCTGTAACACAGGCTTCCAGCCCACATTAGTCTAAATTGTCCCTAAGAGCTGGGCATGGTAGCCCACACCTGCAGTTTCAGCATCCACTGGATAGGCTCAGGAAGAAGGACCCTGAGTTTGAGGCCAACTTGTGCTCCACACCAAATTTAAGGCCAGCCCAGGTTACATATGGAGACATTGCCTCAAAGTTAAACAAATCACCAAAACTTACCCACAAAACATGGCTGGCCTCTCAAGCTCACACTTCAAACTGCCCATGCTATATTGTTTCTTCTACACTACCCTGATGCTGCTCTGCCAGGCCCCTAGCTTTCACCTCCTGTATGCCACTGCCTCCTGGAAGGCCCAGAAAATGGGGCAAGTTGGCTTGCAAGATCTCTTTATGCCGCCTTGGAGGAGAATGCTTCACCTCACCTGCATACTCTCTGGGTTTTAGGCCAAGAGCTCACAGGAAGCTGGGGGAGAGGAGGGCTCTGGAGCCACGGACCAACCTGTGGACCAAACTGCGCCCCAGGAACCCCAGGAACCCCAGAAGCCCCAGGAGACCCCGAAGTCCCAGGAGCCCTCGGGGCCCCCTGTCCCGAGCTCTCCACCGCCAGCATCAGCCCTGGGGAAGCCCGAGGATGGCACTGAGGAGGCGGCAGCTGGGCCCTCAGAGCCCTCAGTAAGGATCCGTGTGAGCCCAGACCCAGATCCAGAGGAGCAGACGCTGTCAGTGGAGATACTGGAGAAGAAGGAGGAAGCGGAGTGAGGCGTATGCAGGCCCCATGATCCCGATAATCCATGATCCCCATCCTCGGGTGGGTGCTGGGCGGTGGAACCGCTTACCTGGATAAGCTTCCTAGCCCAAGAACACCTCCTCACAGGTTGGGTTTTTTTTTTTTTTTTTTTTTTTTTTTTTTTGGGGTTTTTGATTTTTATTTTATTTTTTTTATTTTTTTTTTGTGGAAACCCTCAAATTTCATCAAATGGTAGTTGTGTTCTTGAGCACCTGCCTTCCATGGAGCACCCTGCCCCCTCCCAGTTGCTATTTTCAAGAAGAAAACCACCTTGCACGTTTAAAAAGTTTTTAGGAGGGAATCTACTAGAAAACTCGAGGGTTGGTGATATGACAGTATCCCCACTAGAACCCACCCTTGGTTTAAGTGGAAGGGAAGAGTCGCAGTGGGGAGCACACGCCTGTGGCGGCTGAGGCAGGAGGAACCTTGGTTCAAGGTCAGCCAGTGTGGCACAGTGAGAATCGGCCTCAAAACAAACCAATAGCAAAAACGGCTTGGGAGTTCCCAAGTTCGTGTAAACATCTCTAGATCCCAGGGCAGTAAACACAGTAGTCTCATTAGTGGCAGAGCCTGTGACTGGGCACTCATACACTGCAGTTAATGGTGATTGGTATTGCTATCTTACCCTTTTAAAGTTTGCTTATTTTAGTAGGCAGTGATCAATTGGGTAGTCTCCAATCTCAGTGTAAGACCCTCAGAATGAGGAGTCTCCCAGTTTTGGTCGGTACCCCCAAGAACTCAATGGCCAGTCCAGTTGCTGCAACACGCAAGAGGCTTTAATTTGCAGCACGCAGACCAGAGAGAAGCCCCATTCCCAGGCACAGGCGTTTTTTTAAAGACAAAACCCATAAGCTTAGGGAGGGGGTTTGGCCCTCTGTCCATTGAGTACATGACCCTTTGAGGCCAGATGGTCTCGCTGTTAGGGTCAGTAGACCTTAGGGCCTCGGGGTGTGCCAATTAATCTTGTCTGGGCAAACCAGAGTTGCAGCTATCTCTTTGTTTCTTAAGGACCCTACCTACCACCTGCTGACTCACGGAAAGGAGGGGCAGTGTGAATTCTTGGTATCCTGCTATCTCAGGGCTGGTGGTTAGCAAATTCTGCCCAGCATTCCAATTATTTGGGCTTCATTTCATTTCTTTGCTAGTTTAAGTCTTTCATCAGGACATTGAGAGGGCTCAGTGGATAAAGGCTCTTACTTACTACACCACCATGTAAGCTTGATGACCGAAATCTCTGAAACCCACGTGAAGGTGAAAAGAAATCAGCCCCACAAAGTTGTCTTCTGCCCTCCTCCCATGCACTGTGACACACACACACACACACACACACACACACACACACACACACACATTCTCTCTCTCAATAGCTCACAATAATAAGAATCGTTTGGTACAGAAAGGGGTTTGCCTTTGTAGATCACTTGCCTGGCCTATTTGAGGCCTGAATTTGATCCTCAATACCAAAACAAAGAATCCCACACAGATCTAATCTCACTGGTACGCCTTATTTTTTTAAGCCGGGTGAGTTGGGAGTCTACTCATATTTTTTTTTAACCCTAGTGTCTCCATGTATCATTGTCATATGTGCACCCTATAATCTGAAGTCCAGGGTATGGAGATTACTGGCAAGTATTTTAGATGTTTCTATAAGGTAAACATAGCACCCTTCAGTAGATGTCAGAATGTTTCCTGACCCTGCCACTATGAGGTCCTGCTTCATAAGGAATCTGTTCTCTGTGGATACACCTACTCTTTTAGATGCTAGTCTTTGAAAATAGACTGCTTCTTGTATAAAGTGTGAGGTCCTTGGGATTCTTGGAAAGAACATTAATTTTGAAATGAGATCAGCAGTGTCTTAATTTCGCCGGGCTATGCCATTCAGGGTAACACTCTCACAGAACCCAGATATTATGTAAACTGAGTTGCAGACAGGCATTAATCTCTAAATTAAATGACCACAGCTCAGAGATCACTGTGACCCTGAGTCAGAGCAGAACATGTATGTGAACATGTATGTGTGACTGTTGAGTCTCTCCTCCTTTAATCTCCTCGGTGTGTCTTGCATTTTGGAATATAATAAATTGAACGCCATCTTTTTAAAAACTACACAAATATTTTAAATAGAATTAAAACCAAGAAGCTTTTAAAACTTTCATTATCAAAATATGCTCAGCTACCGGAAATAGCCTAAGCTGTTGTCTCAGTAAACATGAAAGCTTTATGTACATACCAGCTTTCACAGTATAGTGAATTTTAATTAAAGTGTTTAGACAAATGTTCCTGGGTTGTGGATTTATTTTAAAAACTAGAAGTCGGGAGCAGGTATGATGGTGCCCACCTGTAATCCCAACACTTAGGAGGTGGAAGCAGGAGTGTCAGGAGTTCAAGGCCAGCCTCAGCTACTATTGAGACCAACTGGGTATATAATACCTTGTCTCAAAACAAACAACTAATCCCAGTCAAGGAGAAAACTGCAAGTCTGGCTTGGTGGCATATACCTGTACATCTAGACAGGAAGACTGAGAGTTAAGGTCAACCTGTTCTACGTAAGGAGGCCAGTGAGAGGAAGCAGAAGTCTCATCCTAAAGGTGAGCCAGATGACCGTGGAGAAAGGCAACTGCTAAACCTGTCTACAGGACAAGCTCAGGGGCCTCGAAAGCTTCAAATGCCATTTGGGAGTTGGTGAGGTACTGACTGCTCCTGAGGGAGGGATCAGCAGTGAATAACAGACCTGTTTTACTGTTTTCCAAGTCTCAGAGGGTTATGGATGGCCATCGTTTCTGAGAGGCAACTTACTGTTTAAGACCAAACTTCCCTACAGGCCTGATAAAAAGGAGCAGTCACAAGTTAGGAAGCTTGTGACCAACACCCTCCCTGTACACACACACACACACACACACACACACACACACACACACACACACGCGCGCGCGCGCACGCGCGCGCGCGCACCACCACCACCAAAAAACCCCTGAAGCCACCGGAGACTGTCATGGAGAGGAGGAGGGTCAGTCATTGACAGGCTGGAAAGTTCAGGAAGCAGGTTTGTCTTTGGCAGGAAGGGTACTGTGAATATACCCTCAAGTGACTAAGCTGAGCCTATCTCCTGACTCTAACTGGAGAGTGAATGTGGTGGTTTGAATGAGAATGGCTCATGCATTTGCATGTTTAACTCCCAGTTGGTGAACTGTTTGAGAAGGATTAGAAGGATTAGGAGGTGTGGCTTCATTGGAGGAAGTGTGTTGCTGGGGATGGACTTTGAGGTTTCAAAAGCCCATGCCAGGCCCAGTGTCTTGCTCTCTCTATCTGCTCCCTACAGATCAGACTATAAGCTCTCAGCTACTGCTCCAGCACTGTGAGGATTCAGGCATAATGCTGGCCTGCCCCCCCCCACCTCCCTGTCACCTGGCAGTATCCTGGTCAGCCCAGGGTTCCATGGCTGCTACATCACTATGTAATCTGCACACAGGACCCACCCTTTAAAAGAAAAAACACCCACTTCTGATTTCTTTCCTGCTGTTCCTCTGAAGGAACACACAGGACTTTTCCTGTCCCTCCCTTCTTCCCTTCTTCCCTCCCTCCCTCTCTCCCTCCCTCCCTCCTCTCTCTTCTTTTCTGTCCTCTCTCTGTGGAGGCAGCTTTGTCTGTCCCTGTCTCTGTGTCTCTTTACCTCTGTTTTCTTTCCTTCCCTTATTTTCTTACCTCCCCTCAATAAAACTTTCAGTATGAGTCATGCCTACAGGTCTCTGTTGCCCCATCTGCCCGCACTTCATCACCTGCTGCGCCACAGGACCAAGGTCCCAGCCCGCGCTACTGTTTTCCTAACAAGCACTATGCCTGTTTGCTTCCTGCCATGATGATCATGGACTAAACCTATAAAACTGTAAGCAAGCTCCCAGTTAAATGCTTTTGTTTATAAGAGTTGCCTTGGTCATAATAGAATAGTACTAGAACACAGCAATAGAGCAGTAACTAAGACAGTGAGATAACTGTGAGCTGGAGGTCTGGAGGGGATCAGCCTCTAAATCCAGACCTCTTGTGAGGTTTGCAGCCTGGGGAACGAGCATTCTGACACTCCAGTAGACTGCGTGATCATCTATAGCTTTATCTGCCTGGGGGGGCAGATTTAACACTGAGTGGGTTCTGAAGGTACAGAGACTGGGTCTCCCACACAGAACTCAGCTGTGTCTACTTCACCAAATAGCAGAACACTCCACCTGGAAGACAGCCCGTGGTCCAGCATCTTAGCCACCCTGGAGGGAAGTGGGGAGACGGGAACCTCCAAAGCCCAGCCCATGGGCTGCAAAACTAAGTGTGGCCAGCAGAGGCCGCTAATCCACAAAGAAGGGAGACTGCTAAAGTGAAAACAGCTGTGTTGAACATTTGTTGCTATCCTAGTTAGACACCTGCCTCTCCCCATCCCACCTCTCCAATTTTAGATTCCAATTTTAGAGCACCCAGGAGAAAGCCACTCAAGTGCTTTATTCTGCCCCTCCTTGTAAAAAAAAAAGATGTTTTCCTAGTAAACACACTACACACATAGCCTTTTCACTTTATAGTGCATTTTTCTTTTCACCATAATAACTGTTTCACTATAGTTTTAAATTTACTTTATTTTTTTAATTTCATATTTTTATTCTTTATTTACATCCTTATAGTTATCTCACTTACCCAATTAAAGTTGTACCAGTATCCTAGGTAGCCTCCATACGCACTTCTGGACAGCCTACCACACGTACCTGTCCACTGTGATACTAGGCAACTCGGCTTCCGCTGGAAGCCTCCTTGGGCTGAGATTCCATCTTATGGCACTGAGGTTTCTATGGTGCTGGAATCGTCCTTCTGCTAGGATGCCTGTTTACAGCCCCTAATACCTGGACTAGGAAAGGAAAAACCATTTCCCAAGCTTCTCCTACATCCTCTTTGCTCTGCTTCTGGGAATTCTTTAAGGGTTCCTCCCATTCAAAATCAA